CCAGCCCCTCCACAGTATAAGCATAGCCTCTGGGATCTGCGACGTTCTCTTTCCTCTTCTGAAATGTGAAAAGAATTAACTTGCCTGGGTTCACTTGAATCAGTAGGCATGGAACTGTGGTACCGTGGCACAGGAAGACTGCGAGAGGAAGTAGTGGAGCGAACGCCAGCGTGGCGTGAGCGCATCAGGTTATCAATTTGAATGGCGAGTTGAGCGTACTGGTTGAAATTCCTTCCTTCATTGCGGCAAGCCAGTTCTGCCTGTAACTCGTGACTCAGTCCTCGCCGGAAAATCACTTTAAGGGAATTATCAGCCCAGTTAGTTTGCGCGGCAAGAGTACGAAATTCTGGCGCATACTCAGCTGCTGTATTATGTCTTTGCGTAAGCTCCATAAGCAGATCCTACGCTCCTTTGGAATGTTCGAAGACGGCCCGGAATTCCTGAAGAAACTCGTCGTACGAGCGGAATGCAGAGCCATCGGTTCCCCATACAGCCGTAATCCAGTCCAGAGCGCGGCCGGTCAGCAGGGAGGAGACGAAAGAGATCTTGCTGGAGTCTGAAGGGTGCTGTGAAGGCTGTTGGCTCAAAAACAGAGAACATTGAAGGATGAATCCCTTGCATTTACCTGGATTACCGTCAAACTTCTCAGGTAACGCGAGTCGAGGGCTCGCGGTGGTCTGTAGCAGAGACATAGGTGCAGAAGACGGAGAGACTGAATCAGACAAGGCGCCCGAGGAAGGGGTTTGTAGAGCTTGTCCAGCCTTTACCAGTTCCTCCGTCATAGCTGTTAGACGAGCAGCTGATGGTGATGGGAAGCCAGTTGCAAGGCTTGTGAGTTGAAAGCTGCGGATAATGCCGTAATAGTTGCTGGATCCACGTGTGGCGAAGTATTCTATAATGAATCAGAAGGCTGAGGCAGATCCATATGCAACAACTTTTAATAACTCAAAGACAGTCAGAGAGAAACAGGAATTCTTGAATAAGGATGCACTGACTGCGGGCAGAAGCCAGGCTTGAAGAAGTAGGCAGACGGCGTGAGTTCGGTTAACAGGGACAGGCGTAAAGGTCTGGGCAGGCGGCTAGAATCAGTATCCATGTCAGGCTGTGGGTCGAGAGGCAGGCTGCAGACAATCAGAAAGGTTAGTATAGCGAGGATCAGAAACACGGGAAATCTTTATACAAAGAAACGGCTCGGACATGCACACGTAGAGAGGCAATACTTTGCACAGAACGCTCAGTTAACGAGGCAGATAAAGGCTGAGCAATGATTAATAATACAGAACAGGTGATGGGAGTCACAGCGCAAATGATGCATACTAATAGGAGAGTATGCAACACACTAGAACTCAGGAGAGGGCGCTCGTGGTTGAGAGATGGTGGACTCAGGGAGACTGGACGCCGAAATTTGTGAAGTCAGAGTATGTTGTACATGTGTGCTGAGGAGAGATGAGGTATGAGCTATATTTTTGCATAGAAGTATGTGTGCAATGTAACATGTTCCACTGATGATGATACATCAAATGTGCACATTTGGCATATTCTTTAAAAGGAATGTTCCACTGACGCAAATGTATCACAAATGTATACACCGAGGGATAGTTCCCTTTCGAGAGGTCTCTTATTGCGTAGTAGCTTACGCTATGGGAAAACTCCTTTTCTCGAGAAATATTGAAGTCTTTATGTAAAACGCATTGCAGCTGCACAGCATACAGCAGTGAGCGAGGCAGCTCGGTCATTGGCTGTGCTGCGGCAACTGCACGAACCTATGACGGGGCGACTCTGAACACGCTTCCAATGAGCGTGCTTCGCGCCCGCGCTCGTCAGAGCCCGCCAAGATGGGCGTGGCCAAGGGCTATATATTGGGCGCCCCGTCGTCTGAGTTCTTTAGATTTAATCTCCTTCAGCAAAGACCATTCTCTTCGCTGGATCCTCCGGATTTTTGGAGTCTTTTCGCCGCCGCCGTCGACAAGCCTACAGCAGGACTGCTACGAGGACGCCGGCGCCTTCAGCCGCCTTCGAACGCCGCCTGCGAACGCCTTCCGCCTAATGTGCAGTGCTCCTGGTAGAAATAGCCCCAGTCTGGAAGAACCAGACGTGGTTTCCAGAACCGATGCAGATGATGCAATCTGCCCCATGGCCGATTCCGCTGAGGCTAGACCTCCTCAGGCAGGCCAACGGGATGATCCTCCATCCCCGCCCCGATCTGTGGGCCCTCCATGCATGGCCCCTCAACGGGTTCCCGGGAACCTCCCCAGTGGAGTGTTGAGAACCATCACTGAGGCGCGAGCGCCCTCTACGAGGCGTTTATATGCCCAGAAATGGAAGGTGTTCAGTGACTGGTGTAAATCCAGGAACCTGAATCCTGAGACATGCGAGGTACCGAGCGTGCTCGCTTTCTTACAAGAGCTGTTGGAGGCAGGCCACACCCCCTCCACGCTCAAAGTATATGTGGCTGCCATAGCGGCGTCACACGATCCTGTAGAAGGACGCACACTAGGAAAAAACTACCTAGTTGTTCGTTTCCTGAGAGGCGCCAGGAGGATAAATCCCCCACGCCCCCCCTCAGTGACGATCTGGGACCTGGCCACGGTCCTGGACGCACTCAAGAGTGCCCCGTTCGAACCTCTCCGAACTGTGCACCTTAAACAGCTCTCGCTCAAAACTGCTCTCTTGCTGGCTCTCGCCTCAGTCAAGAGAGTGGGCGACCTGCACGCGCTGTCATCAAGCGCTGCCTGCCTGGAATTTGGACCTAACGACAGCAGAGTTGTCCTTAGGCCAAAACACGGGTATATTCCTGAGGTGCTCTCTACACCCTTCAGACCACAGGTGATATCTCTGGCCGCGCTATCGTCTCCAGCAGACGAAAGCGACACTAATTTACTCTGCCCAGTCAGGGCGCTCAGAGTATATTTGGAACGTTCTGCCCTGTTCAGACAGACAGAGCAATTATTTGTATGCTTTGGCGGCCGCACCAAAGGTCTCGCTGTTTCAAAGCAGAGAATATCGCGCTGGATAGTTGATGCTATAGCGCTCGTGGGCGTGGTCGAGTGGGATACCCATTCAAGATATTTGTGCGGCAGCAGGCTGGGCCTCACCGTCAACATTTATCAGGTTTTATAACCTACAGGTCTCCTCATTGCATTCTAACATCCTGTCGGTCTAACTATGTATAGGCTGGAGTGTGTATATGCTGAGCATTATCTCCTCCCTTAAAGGGTCCGTCTCTGACTGACTTAGAGGGTTTTTTATGCATATCAGTACATAAAAATGTGCTTGTGTGTTTTTCCACTGGACGCCCATTGGGCCGTTCTACATTGTCCCTTATAAAGCCCGCCTTCGGCCGGCTCGTTGGATAATTACTTTGCTTAAAGGCTCAGGCATCTGCCTCTGGCTTAATAGAGCGAAGTCAGCACGCACGGCGTTTTACATGGTGTTTCCATAGCATAAGCTACTTACGCAATAGGAGAGACCTCTCGAAAGGGAACGACTCGGTTACTAACGTAACCTCGGTTCCCTGAGAGGAGGGAACGAGTATTGCGTAAGCTGCCGTGCTTGTGCTTGATCAGTTCGCTTCAGTCGATTGGACCTAAAGAACTCAGACGACGGGGCGCCCAATATATAGCCCTTGGCCACGCCCATCTTGGCGGGCTCTGACGCGCGGGCGCGAAGCACGCTCATTGGAAGCGGGTTCAGAGTCGCCCCGTCATAGGTTCGTGCAGTTGCCGCAGCACAGCCAATGACCGAGCTGCCTCGCTCACTGCTGTATGCTGTGCAGCTGCAATGCGTTTTACATAAAGACTTCAATATTTCTCGAGAAAAGGAGTTTTCCCATAGTGTAAGCTATTACGCAATACTCGTTCCCTCCTCTCAGGGAACCGAGGTTACGTTAGTAACCGAGTCGTTTCTTAATATGGAAAGTGGATTGTGCCATGTCAATTTTAAACACAAGTAAAATGTTTTTCTACCTTACAAGGAAGTTAAGTCCCTCAGTGGTGTATATAAGCTCAATCCTTACAGTGTAGCGCAGAGAAATCTGGAATGAAGACCACCTCGCCTGTAACCTTCCTCTTTTTCTATGCCCGTTTCTCTCGTATGTCTGACACATGCATATAAAAATAATAAATAAGAAATCTCTTGGCGAAATAACTGTAGCATTATTATGTTATTTTATCTTCAACAATGTAACTGTCTCACTTTGAGTTTTTTTTATTTGTATGCGATACATTTCACTGTGGATTCTTTGGTAAAACAGTCGCAATTTTGGCCCAGGCTTTGCAAACTTTTTCGATATGGACTCGTCAGTAATGCCACAACATGCAAGTAACTGTTAATTCTAATGCCTGATCTGTGACCAGTGATTACTGATGTAGGCTAATGATACAAGTTCAGTCAGATGATCTTTGTCTATGTGCCCGTAAATCAAACCAGTGAGTGACTTAACAGTCTACTTCACATTGTTTCTCTTAGTAGGATGAAAATAATCTGTTATTTAAACAGTGATTAAATTAGATATAGAATGCGATCAAAGAACGCTATCTTAGTTTGCAATCGCTGTAGCTGTCAATCAAACAGCGCGTGTTTTTCAGTGAGTTCTGGACTCACACCAAAACTCCCGTAATAATCAACGAATCTCTTATGTACATTGTGTTTGCACTAGTTATGATGAAAGCATTCGTTGGTGTGCAGAAATCGAATTGCAATGACAAGATCACATTCATGCGCTCACTGTGATCGGCTACAATGCTCATCACTGCAACCTTTCATGCCACAAAATAAATATAATGCCATAGATCTAAATATAATACTATTAAAAAAAGTCTACGATTAGTTAACCTTGAGAGCTGTAATAGTAAAAGCGTGCTAACATTTTTCGAGAGAGTTCCACTTTTAATACTTATTTCATATACAAAGCTGTTAGCCAATCACAGCAGTGGGTGTTTACACTGAAGTCTCACACAGACACGCCCCTTCAAACAGAACATTCAAACCAGAGGCTGAAATCAGGGTAGTTAAATGCCTTTTATTTCTAAATTTTGACAATTTTTTGATGTAAAAATCATACTAACATTATAAATGCACCACATGAAACATTATAAAACAATGCAGTTCATGACCCCTTTAATGTTTGCTATCGACTATCGCTTGGCTACCGTTGGGTAAAGCAGAACTCCGCTGAACGAAGACAGAATTTCACTGGATGCTGAAATCGCCAGCCTTCCTGATGTGAGCACAAGTGCCGTCCTCTGGCCCCGCTTCAAATGAAGAGCAAGACTTGCAGTGACCGACCCACCACAGACACAGTCCTCAGAGCCTCTGCTCCCCGTCCCAGCGGTGTAAAGCTTCTGGATGTTGCGATTGGCTACTGAGAGAAAGGCCTCGACTCTTTCTCCTGCTGGAGCAGTTAAGACAGCGCTGAGAAGATATCGTCCGTCCATGGGCGCAGTGAACACACCTGTGAAAATAAAGATTCAGATTACAGCAAAGGCATACTAGATGTATGTAGATTGCTACTGTTGTTGTTGTGTGTGAAGACAATCTACATTTGTACATTTTCTAAAGACAAGTATAGCACACTTTTAAAGAGTACTAGAGAAATAATACGCTTTAAAATAATATATTTCAGTGTAAATTGAATGTAGATTTCATTCACTTAATTGCATGTTAGTTAACATTTATATTACATGCAGCTAGCTGAACCGTAGAGTGCTTTTTAACATCTTTATATGTCATTTCATTATTACTTCTATTGTCTTTGAATATGGTTTGTGAACTGCCGAATATACTGACAAGCATTTGTGATAAGCTAAAATATACTTTATCATTTCATTTCTTTTAAAACCCGCATGTCATGTAATTTTAATTTTGCATAACATTTGTAATTACACATTTGTAATGAGGAAGTGTCAATTTAGTACATTTAAAATATATTAACTTTAGATGTACAGTTAAAATTATAATAAAGTACTTGTGCTTTAGTATGTTAGTCATTAAATCAAAAAAGTATACAAAAGATTATTAAAGCAGTTATTTAAAATGTATTTTAAAATAAAACTTTTAATTTGTCATTATTACAAAGTGCACTCTTAAGAGTGTACTTAAGTATGTTAAGAAAGATAGTCATGAAAGTAAACTTTTATATTTACTTTATTACAAGTGCACAATCAATAGAATTAAGTGCTTTTATTCACAAGAGCGACTTTAGCAAACCCCATAAATGGATAATAAAAAAGCATGATTTTAAAACTGTGTACCTGTTTGTGGATCGTAGTGTCTTCCATCATTTAACAGAACATTGTTGAATCGGATGATACCGATTTCTCCAGGAAATGGCACAAGTGTCAGACCAGCCGAAAACGACACATAGGTCATTACTCGCCCTTCTCCTGCATAAACACACACACATACTCACTTTCCCCTCACTTATGGACAATACAGCGCTGTAAAATACATGTGAAGTTTAGTTACCTGTGGCCATTTGAATGGTCTTCAGTGGAATCTGTGCTGTAGATATGGAAATACGGCATATTGTAAATATCCTGTAAATATCCTGTTCAGTTTTATAACCACATATTTTGAATGTTCATCTAGTGTTGGGGAAGCTGCTTTAAATTATGGCAAGGTACAGTTTCATAGAACTACAGCCAAGCTACTGTATTGAAAAAGTAACTACCAGTTAGCTTCACTACTAGTAGTAGTGCTACACTGCAAGTTGCAAAATGTAGCAATAAAAATCAACATATTTTTCTAAATAAAATTTTTAAGAATTTTTGAGCTATTTGTCTCAAAATCAATGACTAAAGAGTGAGAATGACTAATGACTATGTGAGAATAATCTCATTTAGGATGATAGCATTGGTTAACCAATAAATATACACCCCAAAAACTGACCACACACATGGAATCTCATACACCCCACTGGATCTGGTGATTTCATGAGCTTAAAGACCAGTGGATCACAGAAAAGAAAGTTCACCTACTTCAACTGAAAAACTTTTGGCAGAACGTTTCAACTCTTTTTTTTAATCACTCATTGAAATCATTATACTATTTCCCCAGATTCAAATGTATCCATTTCTGTGAGTAATGTTTTTAAAAAAAAATGTTACAAAAAATGTATATATATATTTACAATCTTCACAACAAGGTCTTGTTTGTTAGCATTAGTTAATGCATTAGTGAATATTTTTTACAGCATTTATGGGACTTTGTTAATATTAGGTAGTAAAAATACAATTGTCCATTGTTTCGTCATGTTATTTCAGAGTGCAATTAACTAATGTTAACAGATTAGTAAATATAGAAATTAACATTAACTAAGGTTAATAGATGCTGCAGAAGTATTGTTCCTTGTTAGTTTACTAACGCGTAGTAAACAAATTATAACAAATTGAAACCTTAATGTAAAGTGCTCCCGTGTATCAAAAAGCTCAAACTCTAATAATTGGCAATTGCAGCCAATTTAATTGAGTTTCGTTTATTTAGTAATTCCCCAACACTGTGTTCAGCTACAATAGAGTGTTGAATACCAGAAACAGAATCAGGACTGAGGGCAGCAGCAGGAAGGGGAGGATAACCTGTCAAGAACAATACAACAAATACTGTGAGACAGCAGTTTTCTGTAAACAGCTTTGTAATAGAACTCAAACATTTGCAATACATAAACACACACATATGTGAACACAATTACCTGGTGCTCCTGCATAGCCAGTAATGGATGTCCCGCTCCCATTGATCCCCTGAGGGGTGCGAGATGAGATTTTGGTCACTCGAGGCCCTTCTTCCCCAGACGCCATGGCAGACAGTGATGGGAGTGGTTGAGATCCCACTATGGAAACTTTTACAGCTGCTGTACCTTCAGGAACACCTGGAGAGAGGTAGAAGAGTGATGGCTAAGAAGAAATAAAGAATGCCTGACAGTTAACAGGTGTGACTGGACAACAATTTTGTAGAAGTCGTCTGCAATAGTCTGCAAGCATAGATGGGCTCCATTTGAAATTATCTGCACTCTTCACACAAGTAAAAAACATCTCTGCTCACTTTGGCTAAACAGAAATGTGTCCCTTTGCAAAATCAAACACTGACAAATAAGAGGGCACGACACTGTATGACGGGGGTGCAAAACTCAGTTCCTGAAGGGCCACAGCAAAGCCATTTGGAGGCAAGCCTGCAAGGTTAGCAAAAAAAAAGAAAAAAAAAGTTTTTTAAGAGAAGTCACGGAGGACAAATGTGTGACGGGTATGATTCAGCTAACGGCACTTCTCATTCATTTCTGTGGTACTCAAAAACAGTGATTGAGAGTTGCACGAAATTCAATGACGTCCAGGCTGTAATGGGATTGGTTTTCAAGGCACACGTGATCCAAATTAGCCATTACGCTTTCTCCAATGGTAGAGCCAGAGACCCTTGTATCTCCCAATAATAAAACCATCTCTGGCCACAGCTCTGCAGAGTTTAGCTTCAACCCTAATTAAACACACCTTATCCAGCTCATCAAGTCCTTAAGGCTTGTCCACACTTTGACATTTTCGTTTGAAAGCTCATCTTTTTCTCTCCATTTTGGCCTTCCATCCACACTGAGACTGCGTTTTTGTCCGTGAAAACGACACTTTTTGAAAACGCTCTCCAAAGTGGATAAATTTGAAAACGGCATTGTAGTGTGGACTGTAAAAACTGAGGTATTTGAATGCGATGACGCATGTTTGACCAATAGGTATCTATGTTTATACCCGTTTTGTTCCTGTTATGTGCTATTCACTTTCACACTGTTGCTAAAGATATGTTAGTTTGTACACTCTTCATATCACAGTCCTGCAAACATGAAATTTACTCGCAATTGCTGTCCAGCTGCAAAACATGAAAGCAGCATGGTGAGATATTTTGCTAAATAAAATGATCCTGCCAGAAGAATAGCGTGATGACTTTATGATGTTTCATCTGTATCATCTCAGTGAGCTTTTATAAGGTTTTACTGTATGCATGCACTGTACGGTCAATTCAGCATTTTCCGACGTTTAAGGGTGGATGAGAATCCTTTGGAAAACACTTGAAAACGCTAGTGTGGACGGAGAGCGTTTTGAAATGAAAACTCAGTGTTCAAATGTATCCGGATTCCGGGACGTAGCCTTATTTGAAAACTTCAGGTATGTGTGTTGGAGCAGGGCCGTGGCCCTCCAGGAATTGAGCTTTGCACCCCTGCTGTATGATTTCTAGTGCTGATATAGGGCAATTTGTTCAGCAGAGTGATGCAAGCTTCGTTTAGTCATCATCCATGTCTTTAAGGAATAACATGATGATCAGAATAATTAGATTCAGATTGCATCCTTCCAAATCCATTCATTGAGTTATTCATCAAGTCAAAGATGTATTTTAGTCATTTCTGGTTTAAATTAAGATCCCATGCCTTTATTACTCACTTATCCTCCACCCAAGAGGAGCCAAGCCAAGGTTCATGTATACAATGCATACTGAACCAATTGCATATCTCGAAAACCAATCAACAATTTTAAGCATCATTTTCGTTCTCAGCGGCCCAGAATTAGTACAGTTTGACTACATTTATTTCAGAAGCATTTTGGCTGTAGACCAGTGTAATCAACATCTGGCTCTCTTTAGAATTCTTTTTAATTAAGTGAAACAATCTGACTCCGAAATGATTCTCAATGCATCTCAGCTGTGTAAAGACACAAATTAACTAGGAAAGTAAAAGTGACTTGATGTTAAATTATGCGCTAAGATTTGCATAAAAGCCAATAGAAACAGAAAAAGCAGCGATAATAATCTAATATCAGAGACGGCTCTGTGGATTTCGCTCTGTGCAAATGAAATGCTGCATCAGATAAATCTTAAATTTAATAAATCACAGAAGCGTGCTCCTCCATTCATGCGAAAGGATTGTCAGATCAGGTTAAAATCTCACACTTTAATAGTATTTATTGCACCTAAAATAAAACAGGCTGTGGCTGAGGAATCACCTAAAAAGTTTTACATCTTCATAAACTTAAACAGTTCTGTGTAATCTTAATAATACAATAATTATAAATGTCAATGTATATGATGGTTTGTATGGTGGTGAGGACTGCTCGTTATTATTAATATTTGATTTAAGTGAAAGAAACTAAAGCTTTTGACACCACTGTTTCGAAAGGCCCAACTGAATTTCTGACAAATAGTTTTGGAGATTTATGTCTTTACCCATTTAAGAAGATAGGAGCAGTATGCCTTGTATTTAGCCTACTTTAAAAACAGCTGTATGGAGGTGTTACCAAGATAGCTGTCAAGTAAACTGATTTACCTTAAAGGTACTGGTGTAACTGCCTCAGAGTCCAGGTGTTTTTTTGTGTATTTCTCACCAAATACTTTATGTTCAAAGAACCGCAATTAGTCCAACATTGTGCTCAGTGTGTCTAGTTAAGGTCTCTTTAGCTACTGCTTGTGTACCTTTATGCACACAGATATTTAACGTAGAAAAGTCCTGAAGGCCACAGTAAAAAAAGGGTATTTTTTTCTAATGAGAAACATTTCTAAAGATAAGGTGCTTGGGCAACAATCAACATACGAATGGCAATGTATGAAACAAAGTATCTTTTGGCTAAGAATGAACTAATAGTGCCAACGTTCGGCCACTAGACCGCATTGTTAGAAGCCCTGAAATAAGTTCAGCTGAGAGCTAACTGGTTAACAGTGAACAAAAATGTATATTATGATGCACAAGACATTTTGGGAGTTGCTGCACTGATACTGTGAATTACTATGAATTAAATTGCTGCAACTCAAATGTTATTTCTGTTGTCATTTTTGGTTATTTTACAGCTCATGTGGAAAGCTACTTTGGAAGGTAAGCTTTATTGAACCACTGAAGCGCTGCCTTGAAGTATCTTGCTTGTACGTAAAGCAGCGTGATTTAAATACAGTCATTTTAATATAACTCTTCCATGTTGTTTCCAACAAGTTGCAGTGTAAAGCTATACACTACTTCCAGTTAGTTGCTCCCTAACAAAGAGGGAAATAGAGAGGGAGCAGCTTTACATGTCACACCCGCTTGTTCACATGATCTCATCCAGTGACAGATCTCTGACACATCAACTTCATAGCAGTGACTTATACACAAAAAAAAAACTCTGTGCTGAAACACACACACACACACGTTGGTACTCCTTTTATTTCAAGGACTTTCCATAATGCGTAGTGGTTTTTATACTGAGTTAATCATATTTTCTGTTCCCTAACAACACCCCTAAACATAACCCTCAAAGAAAATGTAAGAAAGCCGAGGAGAGTGCACGACACACCTCTCCTCATAAAATTGCACTGGTTGCCAATTGCCAGCTGCTTCAAATTCAAGGCACTGGTGTAAACCTACAGAACAACCACTGGCTCTGCACCCCTATACCTAAACTCACTACTTCAGACCTATATGTGCCCTCCAGAAGCTGTCGTTATGCCAGTGAAGGTCGACTTGTGGTGCCAACCCAAAAAGGCACAAAATCCCTTGAGATTAACTGTTCCATGCAGGTGGAATGACCTGCCGAATTAAACTCCGAGCTGCTGAGTCTTCTTTAGCCATTTTCAAAAACGACTGAAGACGCATCTTTTCATCAACACTTGACCCATACGAACACTTACTGTTCTTTATATCTATAAAAAGACTAACTGGAACTAGTCACACAGCACTTCCATATTGTTGCATTGTTGTTGGTTTGATTGCTTCTATTGTTCTCCTCATTTATAAGTCGTTTTGGATAAAAGTGTCTTCTAAATGATTAAATGTAAATGTCGCATTTGTAAGGGCACTTGGGGCAGTGCCTCACCAAAATATTCACCCAAAACTAAGACCTCCATATAAACTGAATCAATAATACATTATAAATGTGTTCAGCATTCTGAAACAAATATTTTTCTGATTTTCTAGACTATTTTAAGTCAACATTCTAATGCAACATTCAACATTCGGAGGCACTAAATACACGAAGGCAATTTTAAGATAGCATTCTATGCGGGTGAGCATTAAAACGCCACCCTCAGACTGAATAACGCAATAATGTCTGCCAAAAGTGTGTCTGCATGTGTTCAGGGATTAGAATATAAAACTTACAAAATGTTTATCATAAACTACCACTAATAATCTGCAAATAAAGCAACATTTGAATTAAAAAATTTAACATTTAAGAGAGAGATGGGTTTTTTTTTAACTGCCAAACAACACCCTTTGATATCAGTATATAATATAAATCATCTTAACAAAAAGGAAAAATACAGGGAGAGAACGTAAAACATTATGGGACCCCAAATGATGCACTGGTTATATCAACATCCACTCTCCCAGAATGGAGTCCCACAAATCCCTCCAGATAAAATCTATATAAATACATGTGTGAGCTTTGAGAGATGCTGAAAGGAAACTGCCATCTCACAGGTCAAATGTCACAGGTCAAGAAGAATAAGTGACTGAAAAGGAAGAGTGCATTACTATAGCCCAGCTGCTCAAACAGGATAAAATGTAGGGTCTGTTCCATAAGTAAACATAAGATAATAAGAAATGTTTTAGTTGTATGTAGGCAGCAGACAATATTATTCACTCAACAACAGAGACTGAATCAATTTGATCCACTTAAAAAAAATACTTTTGCTTTTTTTTAGTACTCTTTTTAATTTTTGTAGTTCAGTAACAGTGTCCTACAAATTTCCTAATATTCAGGCTCGTGATCCATTGGATCTATATATAGAGCCCTTGGGTTTGTCCTTTGGATTTACTTCAAACAAAGCTAAGTTTAAAAATCACTTAGTGGCTATGTCTTATGCCACTGGATTTTTCTACATTATTCTGAACGCTTCAAGGTAAAACTGCAAGATAACTAATATGTCCAG